GAGACGAAGAAGAAGGTGTGGAAGCTTCTGTTTTCAAGGATGATACTGGAGTAGAAGGAACAAAGGCATTAATATAATCAAGCCAGCCAGAAGAACAGATCTTCGCCTTCTGGGCTAAGAATGATGGGTTATACCCTTGTGCTTCTTCTGGGTGAGGAGCAGAGTGCATTATCTTTGTAGGCATGGAAGATGTATACCATGCTACAAGAAGATTCTCCTCCAGACTACGCCGATGGTCAATGGGCACATAAGGATAAACAACTGAACTTCGAGCATAGAAAGGAAACTCTAAAGGGTCAGTGAACTCGACAAAATGGTGGTTGATTCGCTCCTTTAAATCATAAGTCTCAGGTACTGACCAGCTTGTCCAATCAGAACCTCCAGAAGAGGAAGAAGTTGCAGCTTTATCCCATACAGAAATTTGCGAAGAAGAGTTGCTCAAATCCATGTTTGCAATTTTACGAATCAGAGGTTTGAGAGCAGATTGTTCGAACTGTAAAGGTAGGTCAGAGGGGAAAATTCTTATGTCTTTGTTTGTAGCCTTCTGAATCGAAGGATTAAGAGCAATGTGTTCGTAATCCAAAGGTCTGTAATTTACAAAGGCGTCCATGACCTGAATATAGAAAGGTGGGTAAAGGTGGCTAATAAATGCATGCTTTCGACGAGGAACAGCATTGACATATGACTCTTCGTATGCTTCATCATTGGAGGAAAGAATTAATTTGGCCATGAAATGTATCAGTCTGTTCGAATAATAAGACAGTGAAAGTACTTAAAGGATCAAGACGAGAGTATTAATACAGATGGTGTGAGACAGTTGCATTTCTGGGAAGATGCAAAACCCATGCACGTTCTAAGACGTGGGAAAAGGGAAAAGGGACTCTGATCCACTAATATCACCAAGTCTTGGGTATATTAGTGCGGGGGGTAATGTTGGCTACACAGTTTGTACTAAGCCAGTGACAATTCGACGCATGGCAAAGTGAGGGTAATATGGGGAGACCAGGTAGGTCTTCGATCCTGATCATACATGTGGCAATTAATATTGGTTGTTATAAGATCTGAGTAGTAGCGGATCAACAAAGAGACGTACAGTGACGTGGCTTCAACGGTTGCTCACATTCAAATTCGAATATAAGGGGGAAGCCTAACTGCAAGTGAAGGCGTAGTGGAGCTACTTATAAGGTAGCATAATCAGTGATTACGGAGGAGCAGTTCGACGGTTTGAAGTACAATTCGATGGTTATCTTCGGAAAGTATAAATAGCAGGAAGGACTTCAAAGAAAGGGACGAGAAAAATCTAAAGAATCACTTTACATATTCCAGTGTTATTTCCTGTCCTTTATAGTTCTGTACTTTAAGTTTCTGCGCTGCACTTCATTTGTAGGAGTAGTTTTCGAGTATATTGCCGCTGTAATTCTCTACGGAACTAAGATCATTGAAAGTCTCTTCATACTAATGAAATACTTCAGTTTATTCAACTGTTCTTATGCTCAAGTTTTCTGAAGTCAAATTACCAGTAAGCCACCAGTAAAAGTCCTCTTTATTGAGGCCGAAAGAACCATAACACAATCGTCTGAATAATTGTTTGGCAATTACAATTCTGTAAGGACTGATCGTTTTATTCACAATCCATGCATTTGAGAAACAACCATCCATTAATTTAAATAATTCACCACATCAATCGACTTTTTGATTTTGCTAATAAATAATTCACACATTAGGCAACTATTAGTTTTGAATTTTCTCCAAACTATATATATATTGGTTAACAAAGATCAAAGAAGCAAAAATAGACAAACCCATAAATCAAAAACAGAGTTTTCCAGACATATTTTTCTGGATTCACGAATTAAAAACACTGAAATGGGGGGTTTTTGCATGAGCAAGCAAATCTTTTTTTTTTTTTTTTACTGTATCAAACGAAGTCCTTTATTGCATAGACTCACTGGAAGAACATTTTTAACATTATTGTCATTCTTTTTAAGGAACTTTTTCTTTAAGCATGTGGACCTCTCTATCTATGCTTTTGGCCACCAGGTTTTTGATGAAATGCTGGAACCATTGCAAACTAACAACACTTAGGTAATAAACTTCTAAAAATACGCACCAATTATATAAGTTATTTCCAGCAACTTTGATTGATCCCTGCTTACTAAGAGGAAAAAAAAAAAAAAAAAAACAACAACAACAACTTAGGCCTTTTAATTATCCCTTTTTCATGTTCGGATTGGTCTTAATGTTTGAAATAATTTTTTTATTTTTTATTTTATTTTGATATTGTTTGTACTCCAATTGCTTACTTAAACAAGGTTTCAAATGACTGTTCTCATTAAGGAAAAAAATTGGTAATTGAATTCTTCTTTGTATGTTCTATCATGTTTTCATTATTCTTGAATGTAAGCAAAATGCTTATCGACACTTCAGAATTTGATGTTCAATGTTCTCTTTTAAACCTTGATGCTTTTGTTTTTGTGTTTATTTTGTCTCAATCCCAAAAAATACGCATGTGTAATTGTCGGTGTATTAAATGAATGTTGTGTAAAAAAAATGTAGTGTAAAGAATGTGTGTTTAAAAAATATAGTGTTCTTCAGTATTCTTAAATTTTACATAATTGTAAGTGTTTTGAGAGTCTTCAATTTGTATTTTTTGGTGTATTACTGTTAATTATACTTTTCATAGAAAATAAAAAGATCCATCATGTTATATCAAGTTCCTTCTGAAAAAAGAAAAAAAAAAAACTTATATTGTAAGTTTGTATTCATTTTTTTTTTATATGTATTTAAAAAATTGTGAAGCATAAAATGTGTGTAATTGTTTAGACATAGACTTAAAAAGTTTGGGATTTTTTTTCCATTTGATTTGGACTATGTTAATCTATGTCAAAATGTAATTTTCAAATTTTTTAGTTTCATTTATAAAAAACTTTAATAATATTTACATTTTGTGCCTTTATATATAATAAGCCAATTAGAAAGCCAAAATTATTATTGTACTCTATTAGTCAAAGTATGCATGTGTACAATTGTGGCTCATTTTAACAACGTAAAATTCTAATTTAATCAATGTACATTGTATGTAAATTAATTTTTACAAGTATCTTATATATTTTTTGCAAGATTTGTAAGATCTTCAGTCTTATCTTACCAAATTGAGATTTTATATGAATTTTTGTTGTAAGGTTTTTTTTAGTTACGATTAGTAAATATTATATTTTATTTCAAAAAAATTAAAAACAAATAAGTCTTTTTTTTTTGGGTTTATTATTTATTTTTTACTGCAAGTGTTCCAAGAATATGGGTTCCTGTTTTGTTATTTTGTGTGTACCATTATTACTTACACTTTCTATTTTCTTCATTAAAAAGTAAAAGGAAAAAAAGTATGTTAATCGATTTGTTGGAGAGAAAAACTGACTATTATTTTCCTTCGTTTATTGATTCAGAAGGTTGCTTTATAACTTTTTGTTGTTCAGAATAAACTTTTCGGATTATTCTCTATCGACACCTGATTGCTTTGACGGTACGTGTTCTATTGCTTCGGTTTGTAATGGCTTCAAATATATAACTTCTTTTTCTATGCTTGAAAAAATCAAATATGTAATTTTTTTATTCAATCTTTATTTTTATTTTTATTTATATGTA